CCTTGCCTCACTCTATTGCCATCCCTAGCATTTACTCTTTAAAATAAACTAAATCATCCTTACTATTTATTTCATCTATAATCGATGAGAAAGAAAATTATTTGAAATAAATTAATATTCAAAAAAATATGATGTGTATTATTCAAAAAGATTAAATAATTAATTTTTAAATTAAAAAAATTATATAATTTGTATCATAAAACCAGACTTAATTTATAATTTACTTTTAAATATTTTTGCAATTCTAGTTCATACGAGCTTCTCTCCCAAATTGTTCTTCCGCTTATATTTGAAAAGGGAAACAGGAGTTGCACATTGCATGGACTTGCTTTTTCTTTTTTTTTTTTGAATCGAAAGTTGAGGCACGAGGCATGGATGGGGTAAATTTTTTTGGGATGAGAGGAGGACGGGGATGACTATCCTTGCCCCGCCCCCATTGCCATCCTTAACGTTACTCTTTAAAATAAGCTAAATCATTCTTACTATTTATTTCGTCTATAATTGATGAGAAAGAAAATTATTTGAAATAAATTAATATTAAAAAAATATGATGGGTATTATTCAAAAAGATTCAATAATTAATTTTTTAAATTAAAAAAATTTTTATAATTTGTATGGTAAAACCAGACTTAATATATAATTTACTCTTAAATATTTTTGCAATTCTAGTTCATACGAGCTTCTCTCCAAATTGTCTTTTCTCTTATCTTTGAAAAGGGCAACAGGATTACAGATTGCACGAACTTGCTTATTTATTTATTTTTGTCTTGTTTTCTTTTTATCGGAAGTTGCCAGCAATAAAACCGAATTTCGCCAGCTTAATAAAAGGATATCGCTGCATACTGCAGTGGATAGTTGGTGGGACTGCGAACACAAATAAAATGGAATTAATAGGTACTCCTTTTGTTTTAGCTTTTTCGGACTGCGTGCCTTGATTTTCTGGTATCTAATGAAAGTATAGTTGTGGAATTACAAATTTTGAGATCCAAACCTAATTTGACCTGTTGAATTGAATAAGAAATCAATCCGATTAAACTTAATTGACTCGACCAAGATTCGATCTAATTAAAAGTAAAAAAAAAAAGACTTGAAAATTAAAATCTTATGCCAGAGCCCAAACTTTGTTGTCGCCAAGAACAAAAAGGGGTTCCACCAACTTGCTACGAGTTGTTTTTTAATATAATTTATACAATATATATTATACTAATTAATTCTATGAAAAAGAAGTGTGTTATTGAAAAAAAACAACACCAACAACAAATCCATAGCACACTTATAATACATGTCTGAAATACATATATATATACTTTTGAAAAGAAGTGCTAGCAACACTCTCTAATACTATTTTTGTAATAAAAATATTTATGTTTAATAATTGATGTCTCATGTTCTTATAAAGTTTTTAAATTATAATCAATTTCACATTATATAAAAAATTATAATACTTTTTATTTATTTTTAAAATTATATGAAAAATTTTTATATAAATTAATATTAAAAAAATTGTCTGTAATTGATGAGAAAGAAAATTATTTGAAATAAATTAATATTAAAAAAATATGATGGGTATTATTTAAAATGATTAAATAATTAATTTTTTAAATTAAAAAAATTATATAATTTGTATCGTAAAACCATACTTAATTTATAATTTACTCTTAAATATTTTTGTAATTATAGTTCATCCGATCTTCTCTCCGAATTGTCCTTCCTCTTATCTTTGAAAAGGGTAACAGGAGTTACACATTGCACGAACTTGCTTTTTTTTTTTTTTTTAATCGGAAGTTGCCAGCAATAAAACCGAATTTCGCCAACTTAATAAAAGGAAATCGCTGCATACTGCAGTGGATAGTTGGCGGGACTGCGAACACAAATAAAACGGAATTAATAGGTACTCTTTTTGTTTTAGCTTTTTCGGACTGCGTGCCTTGATTTTCAGGTATCTAATGAAAGTATAGTTGTCAAATCTAATTCAGTTTGATTGGTGGAATTACAAATTTTGAGATCCAAACCTAATTTGAACTGTTGAATTGAATAAGAAATCAATCCGATTAAACTTAATTGACTCGACCAAGATTCGATCTAATTAAAAGTAAAAAAAAAAAAGACTTGAAAATTAAAATCTTATGCCAGAGCTCAAACTTTGTTGTCGCCAAGAACAAAAAGGGGTTCCACCAACTTGCTACGAGTTGTTTTTTAATATAATTTATACAGTATATATTAAACTAATTAATTCTATGAAAAAGAAGTGTGTTATTGAAAAAAACAACACCAACAACAAATCCGTAGCACACTTATAATACATGTCTGAAATATATATATATATTTCGAAAAGAAGTGCTAGCAACACCCTCTAATGCTATTTTTGTAATAAAAATATTTATGTTTAATAATTGATGTCTCATGTTCTTATAAAGTTTTTAAATTATAATCAATTTCACATTATATAAAAAATTATAATACTTTTTATTTATTTTTAAAATTATATGAAAAATTTTTATATAAATTAATATTAAAAAAATTGTCTGTAATTGATGAGAAAGAAAATTATTTGAAATAAATTAATATTAAAAAAATATGATGGGTATTATTTAAAATGATTAAATAATTAATTTTTTAAATTAAAAAAATTATATAATTTGTATCGTAAAACCATACTTAATTTATAATTTACTCTTAAATATTTTTGTAATTATAGTTCATCCGATCTTCTCTCCGAATTGTCCTTCCTCTTATCTTTGAAAAGGGTAACAGGAGTTACACATTGCACGAACTTGCTTTTTTTTTTTTTTAATCGGAAGTTGCCAGCAATAAAACCGAATTTCGCCAACTTAATAAAAGGAAATCGCTGCATACTGCAGTGGATAGTTGGCGGGACTGCGAACACAAATAAAACGGAATTAATAGGTACTCTTTTTGTTTTAGCTTTTTCGGACTGCGTGCCTTGATTTTCAGGTATCTAATGAAAGTATAGTTGTCAAATCTAATTCAGTTTGATTGGTGGAATTACAAATTTTGAGATCCAAACCTAATTTGAACTGTTGAATTGAATAAGAAATCAATCCGATTAAACTTAATTGACTCGACCAAGATTCGATCTAATTAAAAGTAAAAAAAAAAAGACTTGAAAATTAAAATCTTATGCCAGAGCTCAAACTTTGTTGTCGCCAAGAACAAAAAGGGGTTCCACCAACTTGCTACGAGTTGTTTTTTAATATAATTTATACAGTATATATTAAACTAATTAATTCTATGAAAAAGAAGTGTGTTATTGAAAAAAAACAACACCAACAACAAATCCGTAGCACACTTATAATACATGTCTGAAATATATATATATATTTCGAAAAGAAGTGCTAGCAACACCCTCTAATGCTATTTTTGTAATAAAAATATTTATGTTTAATAATTGATGTCTCATGTTCTTATAAAGTTTTTAAATTATAATCAATTTCACATTATATAAAAAATTATAATACTTTTTATTTATTTTTAAAATTATATGAAAAATTTTTATATAAATTAATATTAAAAAAATTGTCTGTAATTGATGAGAAAGAAAATTATTTGAAATAAATTAATATTAAAAAATATGATGGGTATTATTTAAAATGATTAAATAATTAATTTTTTAAATTAAAAAAATTTATATAATTTGTATCGTAAAACCATACTTAATTTATAATTTACTCTTAAATATTTTTGTAATTATAGTTCATCCGAGCTTCTCTCCGAATTGTCCTTCCTCTTATCTTTGAAAAGGGTAACAGGAGTTACAGATTGCACGAACTTGCTTATTTATTTATTTTTGTCTTGTTTTCTTTAATCGGAAGTTGCCAGCAATAAAACCGAATTTCGCCAACTTAATAAAAGGAAATCGCTGCATACTGCAGTGGATAGTTGGCGGGACTGCGAACACAAATAAAACGGAATTAATAGGTACTCCTTTTGTTTTAGCTTTTTCGGACTGCGTGCCTTGATTTTCAGGTATCTAATGAAAGTATAGTTGTCAAATCTAATTCAGTTTGATTGGTGGAATTACAAATTTTGAGATCCAAACCTAATTTGACCTGTTGAATTGAATAAGAAATCAATCCGATTAAACTTAATTGACTCGACCAAGATTCGATCTAATTAAAAGTAAAAAAAAATGACTTGAAAATTAAAATCTTATGCCAGAGCTCAAACTTTGTTGTCGCCAAGAACAAAAAGGGGTTCCACCAACTTGCTACGAGTTGTTTTTTAATATAATTTATACAATATATATTATACTAATTAATTCTATGAAAAAGAAGTGTGTTATTGAAAAAAAACAACACCAACAACAAATCCATAGCACACTTATAATACATGTCTGAAATACATATATATATACTTTTGAAAAGAAGTGCTAGCAACACTATCTAATACTATTTTTGTAATAAAAATATTTATGTTTAATAATTGATGTCTCATATTCTTACAAAGTTTTTAAATTATAACATTATATAAAAAATTGTAATACCTTTTATTTATTTTTAAAATTATATGAAGATTTTTTATATAAATATTTTTATTGAGTAAATATTTAAAGAAAAGTAATCAAAAGAGTATTGCTAGAAATCTTCTATGGTGGAATTCTCATATATTATGGTTCTATTGGGTCAACCTACAGGCCTGAGTGGTTGACCTGTGATTCGATGAGCTCGAGCTTTGGTTTTATCATACTCCGGACTGGTTCGGACAAGTACGGTGGAAACCATGACAAAAAACAAAAATATGCCGAAACTCATGGGCCAGATTGCAAATACTATAAAACCCCTAATGTAACCCAATTTCAATCTCAAAAAAGGTGTTACACTTCCATGGCCAGTTTTAAAGCCACTCAAATCAAACAGCTCGTTTTGTTTCTTCTCTCCTAACAACACAAAATTCACTAAGAAAGCACACAAAATCATTTGTCGTACGTTCCATGAAAAGCTAGAAAGAATCAAGAAACCCTTATTAATCACCCAAAATCCATGGCTTTTCTTCTACCGAACCTCTCTCCTTCTCTCCTTATCAATTCCAAATCCTTCAAAGATAGAGAGAAACCAATCCTATACCAAATCCAAACTTTACCCTCTCATTATCAAATCACAACAACAACTACTCCAAAACCCACCAACTCTAATACTTCTGTGTCCCCTCCGCTTCAGGTTAAGACCCCGCCAGGTGCACAGGATAAGGAGCAGCACCAAAGAGATGAATTTTATGTGAACCTTGGCCTGGCTGTGCGGACACTCCGTGAGGATTTGCCTTTGTTATTTACAAAAGACCTCAATTATGACATCTATAGGTAATTTTCTCATCTGGATATCTCTTATTTTCTTTGAATTCTGTTTGTTTTCAGAGAAAGTTTGCAACATTTTTACATTGGAGTTGGTATTATTTTGTTTCAGGGATGATATCACATTTATTGACCCACTGAATACTTTCACTGGAATTGACAACTATAAATTGATCTTTTGGGCATTGAGATTTCATGGAAAAATGTTGTTTAGAGAGATTTCACTTGAGATTTTTAGGATTTGGCAACCCTCAGAGAACGTGATATTGATTAGGTGGAACCTAAAAGGCGTTCCTAGGGTTCCATGGGAGGCTAAGGGAGAGTTTCAGGGTACTTCAAGGTATAAATTGGATAGAAATGGAAAAATTTACGAACATAAAGTGGATAATTTGGCCTTCAGTTTCCCTCGGCCGCTCAAGCCTGCTGCTTCTGTATTGGATTTGGTAGCTGCTTGCCCTGCTAGTCCTAATCCGACCTTTTTCTGGGGGGCCGCAGACGTCTACTCGTCTTCATGGGTGAAATTTTATCGTGCTGTTAGAGAGACACTGGACCAAGAACAGTACCAATTGCTTTTGCAAGATGGTTTGGTTACCTTTTCATAGTTAGTGAGGTACTTATAATATGATGTATATCAAGAATTTTGATTTCTCAAATATGTATTTTTACTGCATCATATAATGAATAGTATATTGGAAGACAACAAGTGATGGATTTTATTGAAGGATAAGGTATATGCACATGGGACAGGATGCTGAGAGTTCTATGTATTTCTGCATCAGTGGAGGTAGAGAAGCTCAGACATGTTTGATAACTCAGACAGATCAGATATGTATGTATACAAAGTCTTTAGTCATTACATTACGTAAATAATAGAGCTTGTTCTGCAATAATTCTATCATAAATTTGAATCTTATATTTTCCTTCGCCATGTGAAAATATGATTTTATTTTATGCTATCCATTCTTGTTTTTTGAATGTGATTCGTATCTCTCTTTGAAGATGGTACAGTGATGTTATTGATGTTACAATGTAGTTTTCTGAGATTGGTTTTGCATTGACATCTTTAAGCTTATCAGTTTTATTTATAAAAAGACAGGGTTTTCAAGAAGTTGGGAAATCTATATGCATAATGCATTTTATCATTGAAGATCCCTGGGGAGAAAAAATTGTGTATTACATTCTACCTCCGGCTCTAAGCAAGGTTTTCAAGCATTTATGCTCTGTACATTGAATTGTGATATGAATTTGTTTGAAGTGGACTTTTCTACATAGTTTATATCATTTATGTTATTTTTTATTTATTGAACTACCCTTGTTTGTAATTGTGCAAGAGTTCCCTTTCTCGTAGTATTATGAACTTGATTCTGTGCCCGAAGTCAATGTTTTTTCTCCTCCCACATTTGTGTCGTAATATATTGTAGGACTTTCTGGGTGTGTTGGTGGTTACAGAGAAATGTTAGCTTACATCCATGCCGTTCCTGGGATTTTTATTTTTAAAGCCTTTGGAGCATAGTGCACCTGCCTTTCTTTGCGTAGTGTGGTATTGTTTGGGCTGTGACTTGCTTTCGTCTTTACTTAAGCATGTTTGATTGCCCAGACTTGCTACTGGATTTAGCTTACTGCTCAGTGCATCAGTGAAAAGGCCCTGTTACTAAAATTTGTTGTTGTACAAATAAGCTGCTTGTTCTATTCATAATTTATCCTTACAGTACCTCAATTCAAACCTTCTTTGTTCATGTGGTTGAAGTTCTTAGGAATTAGGATATAGTTGATACAAAGTGTCCTGCCAAGTCAAAAGGATTTGGACGAATATTGAGAACGCTAATAGTTGAAGGCATTTAAATGACAAAATGGACAAGTTTAATAAGGTCAAATATATGTGTGCTGCAAATTGAGAATTGGATTCGTTGGAGGAATGCCACAGCAAAACGAAACATCCTTGATTTGATGGAAGGAACTGTTCAAGTTTTTTCATGGATGTAAGCAATCTGATTGTTGTGAAAGAGGTGGAAGGGAAACAGGATCATTCCTAAGGAGTTTCGGAAAAATGTGCAAGTTGGGGTATTGTAAATGTGGTGGAGGCCAACTTCTGTCCTGCTATTGGACACAATCCAGGCCTTTTTATTTGCGGAGACTTTCCTTCTCTGTCCATTTAGTGTAGCTTCTAACCTAAAGGACTCTCCCTGCTCCTCCTGGTTCCTTCTCTCTAAAACAACACAGGTGATCAGATAAAGGAAGAAGAGTTTTCATCTTTATCTGTTGTTTTTTTAACAACTCTTATTCCATGGCAGTCACAAATCAACATGTAACATTCTTGAGGTGGGGAATTGTTCCTGACTTTAGTCATGCATGCGGGGGATGGTTCTCATGAATTTCCTTCTTACTCGCGAGCCAGATCATGAGCGGAGGCGAAGATGCCCTAAATTAATGGTGAATTGGAAAAGCCAGGACTATCTCATGTTGAGAGCAGAGCCATCACGTCATTTGAGAAACCGACAGTGGGTCAAAAGGCCTGGTGCGTTATGATGGTGGACAGTAAAAATGCCCCGGGACGATGGCCTACGTGAGACGGCAGTCACAGTATAGAATATAGATCCATTCAGCACAATAGTTTAAGCAAGAATCGGGCGATCATTACAATATCAAGCACGAATAATAATAATATATTTGCGTTTATTTTTAAGTCAATATAATATATTGTAGATTGAATAATATAACTCTTTTTTTATTTGCTTTTAGCTTGTTTCCTTACAAGAGAAATATCATTTTCAAATTGGTCCACAACTTTTCTTTGGTCCACAACGTGATTCTTGCTTAACCATCAATTTTGCTCCCACCATCTGCCAAAAATATTCGGGGAGTTCTCACACACACACACATATATATTTTCTCTCGTGAGGTATACAAAGAGAGAATGTTTTTGCAGGACAATATGGTCCTTCAGAGTTCTAATGATCATTAAAACCTTAGGACAATGTTATTCATTTGGAAAAATATTTATGATGTGGACATAATTGGTGGCTCTCTCACGTAACACCACAAACTATTAAGTTATTTATTATTTGGAAAACTCAGTTTGGTTAAATTAAATACTTATTTCTGTGATGAAATATTGCATTTCTCAAAATTTTTAATTTTTTTTTCATTAGTTATTTATAAAAGATTTAAACTCACTATTTGCACTATGTATATAAATACCATATGTGGGTCTTATTTTATAAGGTTTTATTATGATTATTTTATTTCAATTAAAGTATATATAAAAAAAAAGCAAAATCGTATTTAATTGATCGAAATTAGAGATATATGTGTTCAATTGATCTAATTGAACATATAAGAACTTATTTAAAACATTTATGAAAATACAGATAGCAAATAAGTGGGTTCAGCATTTGTAAAAGTTTAAAAGTCAAATCAAACCATAAGCATACTCATCAGGATGTTCTTGCTCCCCCAAACTTTGGGACCCACATCCCAACGAGATAGATTTATTAACGTCAGCGTGCTCAAGTTTAAATTTTTGGGATAATAATAAGAAAAAAAAAAAAGGCATTTGATTGTGGCTTTTTCCTGCATGATTCAACCACCATCCTCTAAATTAAGCATTTTTTGTCAGTTCCCTGTCACTTGTGTGCTGCACTTGCAAGTCTTCATAATATAATATCAAATACAGGAGGAGGAGGAGGAGCTTGAAATTAAGATATGTTTGTCTACACCAAAGGCGGCATGAATGGATATCACTTTTTTTTTTTTTTAAGATAACCATTCCTTGAGTTCTGACGCACAAACCTGTTTCTTTAATTGTAAACATCATGGGTAAAAAAATTTCTTATGAAATTTTATTTTATTTTTATTACAATCTTTTCTATGATTTGAAACTAAAATATAACATGAAAAATAAACTTATTTATTAACCAAACTAAATCTTAAAAAAAAAAAATTCGAACTTTGTATTGCTAAAATAAAATTTAATAATCTAAGATAAGATGAGTCCAATGTATATTTATAACCAAAAATATATCAACACGTATGGTATTAAATAAAATTTTAATTAATGTACTGTGAGGCTTGCATACTCATTGCATTTAAAAGGAAATTTTTAAAAACTATCTTTTTTTTTTTTTTCGCTCTCACTCTATAAGCTGATGCCGGCACTGGCCTGCACGGGGCTATAAGATAGTAAAGTAATTCGAATATACTTGAAGGTCAAAGTCGTCATTTCAAAATTCGGCTGACTACCGTTTACTTCGAAATAAAAAATATACTCCACCATAAATGAAAAATAACGAGTCATAGTACTGGTACTGATTAATTAATGGAGTAGCAGATGTCAGGCCCACTTAGTGTAGAGGAGAGAGAAGAAGAAGAAGAGAAGACGATAAGGTGATTTTCTCACATGGGTTTTCTTCCTTTTTCTTTTCTTTTCTTTTTCCTTTTTGTTTTGAATCACTTAATCCCTCAGTCTGTTTTAATAATGAACGCTTAATTTAAACTTGGTTGATTATTAAGTTACAGTGATCATCTTACCTGTTACGGACTTGATTCTGTACTTTTGTTTTGTTTTTGTGTAACTTTAAGTGAAAAGTTTCTGTCTTTGTCATTTTTCTTTTGTTTTGTCTTACTGGGTAAGTATTTACTGTTTTTTTGTTTAAGTGTGTTGGTGTTTAGGTTTCGGAGATTTGTGTCTTAGGGTTTCAGCAAGTGAGTGGTTTTTATTTGATTTGATTGTTTTTGTTGCTCGGTTTTTCTTCTCTTTGTTGGCATAATTGGACTCAAGACTTCAACCTTACTTACACACACACGTACACATATATATATAGATGAAAGACTTCAGCTTTGGCTTTTGAATTTTCATTTTTGGCCTTGTTTCATACTTTACTGCCATGTAATCCGTATATTTGCCCAATTTCTGGATGCGGTTGTTAGACAAGGTTACGCTTTCCAAAGTTCATAGCAAAATGAGGGTGTGCGAAAACCCTTTTAGGAATTCACAAGATTTTGAGAGTTTACCTGTGGTTTGAGTGCTGCTCTTCATAACTGTGGAGACTTTAAAAGATTTCTAGTTAGATTTAGTGGATTTAGAATTTGTAGTATTAGTGCTTTAGGGAATCTAGGTGGCTCTATATCTGTGGGAGTACCTCTGGTTTTATGCATGGAAAGTGCATGAATCATCATTACAGTTTACATCTAAGGTCCATATGTGAGTTTTTGGAGCCAAGAGGATCCACTGTAGGAAGTTGGGTTTTACTTTTCAAAACCATGAAGTGACTTTGTATGTGGATAGTTTTAACAACTGTTTAATGTTTGATGATTCTACATTGCATTTTCAGATGCTTAAAGAGATTAAACTTGGCTCTGTGTGGATCTTTTCCTTTTTTTCCTCTATGCAAAATGTATATTCTATCTAACCGCCGTAATAAGAAAGAGATGATTGATTTCCAGATGTGAACTCCCTTACTGATTTGATTGTGGGTTTGATTTAGGGGCTTCTAATTGTCTGGTTTGTTAGATGATTGATGTATATGTCCTCAGTGCTTTCTGGTAAAGGGCAATAACCCATTGAAGGGACCTATTTCATTCCTGCTGTTACTCTCTAGTTTCTTATTTTGGAGTGCTGATATCACATACTCGGCTCCTGAATATATTGCCTATGCTGTACCACCAAACATATTTACTCATGCACTGTGCAGTTGCTGACAAGGTTCATTCAACTTCTGCATGCAGCCCATTTACTGTTCATTGTGCATGCTGATTATCATTGAGTTCTTTGTCCATTGAAACATGCGACTGAACTGAACTGAATTGTGTTTAACTCTTATGTGAAAGTGATCTGTGATCTTGTAATTTACAGGTCATTTCATCAGTGTCTTGGTCACTTCCTTTACTGTCACGCAGCAAGTTTTTGTGAGATTTTTGGACAAAATTTGCTGAAGTTCTGGTTCTTTTCGGCAAGCATCAGTTCTACAAAGATACTGTTTCCTTTTTTACATATGGTAAATCTATCTAAATCCATGCAAAACCTTTTCTGTTAATTCTTCTCCAGTAGTAGAAATTAACTCTGTTTTAGGGAAGTCAAGGATAAAAGAAACATAACGAATTATGAGTATCAGCTAAGAAATGAATAGCTATATAAGGTCATGTCCTAGTAACTCTCATACAAGGATAGATTTTTATGATATAAACATGAAGGAAATGTCTCACGACCTTTTGCATTGATAATTGATTCTATTTGTGGATTATTACCTCTCTTGTCTTACTATTCTTTATTTTGTTACAATTAAGGCGACATATGAAGATTTGCCTCCCAGTGTAATGAAGAAACTTGCAAAGGAATTGAAGAATCTTGATGAATCCCTGCCCGAGGGAATTACTGTAAGGGTAAATGATGATGATTTTTCAGTTTCAGAAGCTGATATTGAAGTCCCAGGCATGCAACTTTGTCCTAAATTTATTTTTTTTAAGATGCGTTGGGAGTTATGTTGAAATAAGATTCTGTGCTTTGCAGCTGCAACTGCATATGAAAATAACATTTCTCGCATGAAGCAGCTATTGTCTCGTGACTTTCGGCGCCCTCCTCGAAAAGGTTTGTAGATGGGCATTTTGGTTACATCTCTATGTTGCTATAATCTTTAGGCTGTAGCTATTTATTTTGGTTCAAGTCCGAACATTTCCATTGATAAGGAAATTTTTGTTTTATTGGGATCCTTCATATTTCATGTTACCCTCTAGGGTTCAAGGGCTACCTGTTCTGTTTTCTAACACCATATGAATGTACTGAACATGATGTAACGTTATTTAACTTCTCAAACACTTATACTTATGAGCATCATTCCAAAAAATCAATAAGCAAACTCATAGTTATTACCCAACCTTTATTTTTTGTTTGTTATGGCATGTGATCTGTCTTCTTTATTCTCGATGAGAGTGCATTGTTATGTCTTCATTTGTGTTATTGTTGTAAATATCGTGATCTGAAATATCATCACACTCCAACCAAAATAAGATTTGCAAACTTATTGTTTGACAGGTGGATCCCCAGACCAAGAATCGATTGGGTCTGAGACAAAAAGGTCTAGTGTATCATCTGGCAGGTCTCGTAACCGCAAGGAGTTTCTTTCTAGGTTTGTGGACAGTAAAACTCTGACAGCCAGACTTGAAGACTGGTTTGAATCGATATCAGAAAAGTCTGGACAGAAAAAGTCTGCATTTGATGTTCCGTTTGAGTTGATAGAACTTCAAAAGTTTGATTATGCGTTGGAAGGGGTTTCATTTCAGCAGCTGGTTCGAATGCCAAATGCTGTCTATGCTTCAACTTCTGATGCCGTGGAAGCAACTGCGTATCTTGCTATTGAAGACTTTCTACATGCAAGTGTGAAGGGCTTGTGGGAGGCATTTTGGAATCAGGATGATCCCATGCCTTTCTCAGTTGCTTGTCTATACAATGAAAACTTGAAATTCTACCAGGCTGAGAAAGCAATAGGTAATGGAAAGCTTGGTGGTCTTTGCGCCACCGGTTTATTACTTAACAACCCTAGGCATCCACATGGAAAGTGGGACCATATTCTTGAATTGGCCCTTCTAAGGCCTGATATTGGAAGTGCTGCTGCGGGAAGTGGCCAGCAACTCTCTTTATGTGTTCTGGGTGAGGCTGTCTTCTATGCTTTACGCATACTACTATCAAGAAGCTTAAGCAGATTGAATTTTTATGAGAGTCCAAATTGTGCCTACATTCTTCTTGTTGATTCTCAATATGGTGGGGTTGTAAAAGTTGAAGGAGATGTAGATAAATTGGAGTTTGATGTGAATAATGTTTATGACTGTTCCACGGATTGGATAAAAAAACATTGTAAAGTGTCTGTCTCTCCTATCGATAGGATCTGGAACAAACTTGGAAATGCCAACTGGGGAGACATTGGTGCTCTACAGGTACTTTTTGCAACTTTCCATTGTATTGTGCAGTACGCAGGGATGCCTAAACACTCAATTGAAGATTTAGCAGCTGATCATGGTTCTCGCCTCCAAACAAGAAGAGTGGCAAGGCAGTTAGGGGATTCCAGAATTAATGGCCATGGACTATTTCGGTTTCAGCAACAGAGTGTTTCTCCTGAAATTGTTGAAGTTCCAGATGAATCCATCAAAATAAAGTCTGAAGAGTTAATAATGAAGCTGGAGATAGGATCTGTATTATGGTTGGAGGACTCAGACCGGCAAAAAGGTTATCAAATCAATGATGTCCTGCACAATAATGAACTGCGGTATTACATTGCATCGCCTGTTAAAGATCCTGGTAAATCTTTGTTTCTTTACGTCGGTTCCCATCCTTCTCAACTGGAACCAGCATGGGAAGATATGAATTTGTGGTATCAAGTCCAAAGACAAACTAAAATATTGACTATTATGAGACAGAAAGGTCTATCTAGTAAATATCTACCACAGTTGAGTGCTTCTGGCAGGATTGTTCACCCTGGCCAGTGTCGAAAACCCAGCTCAGGCGGAAATTGTGATCACCCATGGTGTGGTACCCCAATTCTAGTTACCAGTCCGGTTGGTGAGACAATTGCTGATATGGTCAATACTGGCAGATTTGGTTTGGATGAGGCTATCAGATGCTGTCATGATTGCTTATCCGCACTTTCTACGGCTTCTTCTGCCGACATTCGGCATGGAGACATTCAGCCGACAAACATTGTTTGTGTGAGATCTGGTGTGAGGCATCCTTATTTTGTCCTTGTTGGTTGGGGTCATGCTATTCTTGAAGACAGGGATCGTCCTGCAATGAATCTCCATTTTTCATCTACTTATGCACTGCAGGAGGGAAAATTGTGCTCAGCTTCAGATGCAGAGAGCCTGGTATATGTGCTCTACTTTGCCTGTGGTGGAGCTTTGCCTGATTTAGATTCGGTTGAGGGGGCACTGCAATGGAGAGAGACCTCATGGTCAAGGAGATTGATTCAGCAGAAGCTTGGTGAGGTATCAACTGTGTTGAAAGCATTTGCTGATTATGTAGACAGTCTTTGCGGGACACCATATCCTATAGATTATGAAATATGGCTAAGAAGGTTACGGAGAAATATTCATGAAGATGACCATGGGAAGGAAGTTGACACGTCTGGCTAGGACTTTTCCACTGGCGTAATTGGCATAAATGAATCCATAAATCATCTTGATCGTTGTCACTGCCTGGGAGCAAATGATAGAATTGGAGTTTAAGCCTGGGGTCATTGTTAAACTTCGACGATCTGAAGGTTTTTGTTTAGTTTAAGGGAGAAAAGGTAGTTCAAAACTCCGAGAATGGTTTGTTTGTGCTCCCATATAGCCTCTCAATTTTTATGATTCTTTTGGCTGCCCCTTCTATTCTGTAAATCGTTGGACTGCATTGGTGTTAGTGCAAAGACCAAGCCACACGATATAACTTCACCTTTATTGTGTTGGCGTGTAGTCCCCTTATACTGTGTAGAGGTTTAAAATACGGTTGGTTTCTGCCTTGGTGATGAGTTTCTTATTAATACATGTAGCACTTGTTGATGGCATTCCTTTGTAAAAATGTGAGTTAAATTACTGTGGAAAGTGGGAAGTTCTGTAATTGTTTGAATCTGAGAGTAGCCCAGGTCATCATTCCTCACAATTAGATTGCATAGCCGTGTACCCTTGGTTTTTCTTTTTGTTCATGATTTTTCATCTGTTTATAAGGAGCATTTTCATCCGGGGCTTTTATTTGGTATAGAGAGCTGAATGTCGAGCTTAGGCGTCTTGGTAGAGTACTTAGTTCGCTTAATTTTTCTTTTAGCAAATTTTAATTCTCAAAAAAATGACCTAGGCATTCATTTCTGTATAATCAAACTTAACATCAGTTCATGATAGCTAAGCCCGACAAAATCAAACCCAAGTCAATCCTAGTTAACCTTGAGACCTGTGGCCATCTGTTATACCGATTCTCTTCGTCTAATCAGAACCATTGGGTGCTCTTCTCTTCCTCTGAGAAAGACAAGGATTCTTTTAGTGAAGCAGGTTCAAATCATGCAATGGGAGAGGCTATATTCATTGTGTAGCTTAAAGCTCTTGGGGTCTCCTAATGAACCAAAAAGAAGAAGTGGGCTATCCCTAAAATCTGCAATCCATCTCTTTGGGTCTCAAATTAAGTTTCAGATATGGAACCCAGCAGCGAGACTACACAGGCTCCTGCCCCGTCTTAGAAATGATTTTGGTTGTTGTCATCTGCATTTTTTAGGGTCTGGTTTCCATCATGAAATAAACGATTACAAAGTGCTGCTGTGACTTCAGGGCTGCTTCTAGGAGGTCTTAAGAGCTGAGGTTTTCACACTGAACATCAAGTTTTGGAATGTATACAGTAGGCACTTAATTTTGCAGAGTTTTTTGCGGCGGATCTTATTTAAATAGTTTACAATTTATAAAATCACTAGTATAAAGAACTTAAAGAGTTTCCTATACTAAGTCTTTTTTTGTTTTGTATAAAGGCCCCTTCAAATGCTGTATATATATATATATATATATATATATGTATATGTATATTGCCACCCAAAACAAGCTGGGATCTGTCTTAATTTAGCAGGACAGCTCAAATCGAAGTGCCTTAGTAAAAAAAAAAAAAAAACCTTCGATCTTATCACCCAACTAATTATAAATAAATATGCCACCCATAACATTCTTGATCATTATAGAAACGACCAAACATCATTCAAAAATAAGATCTTTTCAGTTCACAAAAAGAATATCCTTCAAATATTAGTACATCCTTGAAAATGGTAAATGAGGATAATCCAGAGATAAAGCGAAGGAAGCATTACAACAAGAGGTTATAGCTCTACTATGTTTGAGAAAGTTCGGTGATTACAGTGGCTCATATCCTTCAGTATGTAAAATCACCGGGGATTGCAACCACACAAAGCATAAGATTTACATCACTGGCATGTTACATTATGTTTCTTCAGTTGTTGTGACGTGAGAAACCCCATTTAAGAAAGGGGTGGGGAAGGGAATACACGAAGACAATTGGATGGGAATCTTCTCATATAACATAAGAATTTACATCACTGGCAAGTGAGAGAAGGGAAAAAAAATCACATATCAAAATCAAAGTGGAAGTGGAAGTTCATTCAAGGGTTTTATTGCTGCAACACCACTGAGATCAGGCCTCATGTACTTCTCATATGTGACTCTCAACTGTGATGTTCTTGCAGCCTTTTGAATTTTCAATATCATCTCAGCACAGTCCCTAAAACAATCAAGTTAGATCACTACCGGAGGAAAAAACACCCAGTAATGGAAATTAATCTTAACAAGATATACCTGATTTGGGAGACTTGAAAATGTGCATGTCTGGCAAGCAGAGGAGTCCAAGCTGGAGCTATTTGCAAGGTAGACCGAGCAACATAGATAGCTGATGCACATAGCATCGAAGGTTTGAACTTTAAAGCTTTGTACTCAACCAAGCAGAGTTCAATGAGGTAGAATGCTAAATGCTCGAGCTGGCAGCAAAAGTGAACATTAGGTTAATGTATTTAAGATCGCTATTGACAATAGTACAGACAAGAATGCATGACTTTGTCAGCTAAGAATCTAAGATCATCTGGTGTTGAGTGTCCACTATCCAGCCTTAATAGTCGGACAGCCTCTTCTTTACCAAAACACAACCAAAGAGGCTTTTACCAATATGTACATGACAGATTAGACAAAACAAGAGATCATCAAATAACCAGATTTAAAACCCTTTCAAAAGCCACATACCTTCAGGTCTGATTGAGAAGCCTTGAGAAACCTTAACATGAAAACGTATGGAGTTGGCTCATTTAGACGAAACTTCAACTTCTTAAGAAAAAGCTTCTCCTGAAAACAAAGCAAGCCACTAAATACCATTAAGACCAAGAGACAACAACATCAGAATGTACAGTAATTTTATGCCACCATCTTTCAGGAAAGAGGGAAGAAGGTAAGTTGGCATCATTCTGTTATAAAAATTTGTATATAACAAACAAATATGCAATAATGCAGCAGAAGGGAGAAAGTGCACAGATCAAGTTCATCCTGGACAGATGTTTACATTCCTAACCCTACAACTTAAAGAAGGGAGAAAATAAAATCCTTGAAGCCAATTTTTTATGTCTAGTGTACAACCAAAACCTCTTTTACAAGAAAATAAATTTCAGTGAACTAGGATTTGGTAATATGGAACACCATACCATTACAAGCATTTGGCCCCTCGTGTATGACTCAGCTGAGATGCTAATTAAATCTTTGATCTGTATTGCATGGTGCAGAAAAAGATGTATGAGTGTATAGTCTAACAAAAAATCAAAACTCAAATAAGACTTCAACTGAAACTATGTGCATTTGACATATTGTTTTTACCCTAGGATGCCAAAAATCTTCATATTTTGATGCCAGAAACAGTGCTGTAAGACCAACCAACTGCAGTTCATTCTTCTTAATTTTGACTTGAGATAGGAATCGATCTAGCAATGTGACCATTAGATAAAGTGTTTCCGGCATTAATTCAAATTTGAAGTGTACCTGCAACCAGAAAGGAAAATAAATTACCACTAAAAATACTTGAGGTAACAGAAATGGCAAGGAAAACAGCACCAAAAGCAAAGAAAGAAAGATGCTTAGAAGTCAATTGAGAACAGATGGATGCACACTTCAATTAGCCAGTTAATAACTATGCCCCGCATTTGAGGTGTAATGTCCGTTTGAATTGCTATGTAATTTTCCAGAGATAAATTCTGCACCTGAAATAGACACAAGGAAAAAAAATTTATTTAAGAACCAATGGGTTACCAACAGAATAAGTGAAC